TTAATTATTCTAATATGAATCAGACATTAAAACCTTGATTATTTCTGCAGGTTAATAATACCACTGGCATTACCACATTGCACAGAATGCCACTGCACAACTGAACACACTCCAACACAAGCAGCCATGAAGCGCACACACACAATTACAGTGTTGTCTAAGCCACCCAGAATGGCCGGCTTCCAGTCAGCCCTCTGCAAACTGCACTTTTAGAAATAAAGCACAGTCGTGGGGAAAGTCCTGCTTAGATGCCAAAATGAGGGACAGATAGAGAGGAAAAAGTAAGCTCTCATTTACCACTGTCTAGCATTTTCATTCATCTATATGAGTATCGACCACAACCAGTATCTAAAAATCAAAACGTATACAAAGTAAGTCTCAGCAAAAGCATAATCCTAGCCCTCATTCACCTAAAAAAATGTCTAGTGCTTTGTTGTAAATATGGATTCTACACCTGCCAGCTGTATCCCAAATTGTGTCCCCATGAATCCTCCTGCATGAGGATCCCTAACTGAGCTCCCCTTCTAGGAAGAACAAATAATAATGTTTCAAACTCCAGAAAATAAAAATCCTGACAAATTTAGGAGATTTCAACAGCTTTACTGCCAATTAACATCCATGCCCGCAAGAAAACGAAGCATGTTTAGAATAACAGGGGATAGGAAGGCCCCACACCTTCTTGCTAGGAAAGATGAGGAACAGGAAGAGAGACAAAGACTACAGGAATTAATTTTTCCCACATATTCTCACATTGTCAGGGCTGAGAAGTGAAAGCTAAACCCCAAACCACCCCCCTGTGCTGAGGGATCGTAAATAGCGAGGTCCAAACCTGGCCTAACTAAAGGCCTTACCAAAAGCTTGCCTCGGAGCCACAAGCACTGCAAGAAGAAGCAGTGGAATCGCCCTCGGCTTTATTACAAAGGAGAGACCTGGCCGCAGGCAGACGCCGCCTCCAGCCCCACCCCAGCCCCGATGCGAGAGGGACAATTATTGACCTGCCGGGAGCCTCCTCCAGGGCCGCCGCGGGCCCGTTCTCGCCGCGCT